ATGATGTTTTAATATAAATAATAATTTTTAAATCTTGTCCCAATCTTTAACATCTTATGGCTACATGATTAGGGCTATCAAAACGACTCTTTGTTCGTGAACGGCTCGTGTTCGGCTCGCTAAGCAAACAAGCCGGGCGGTAGCGGCAGGAATAACAAGAGTTGATTGTCTCGGGATGCTGGAATGAGGGAAGCATTAGTGGGGCGATTTTCTGGTGTGGACAGCATGTAAGAGGGGAAGATAGCTAGCAAGTTAGGCTACTGTAGGAAACAGTAACTTCCTGTAGTTCTGGGTGACGTCCACAAAGGAAGGAGGCGGGGAGCGATGCAGGAAGGATGGAGAGGGGTAGAGGAAGGATAATCACCACCCCGAGAGCGAGATACAGTCGAAGTGCCACTCGAACCTTAGATAAATCTCTAAAAGGGAAAAGGAAGATGTTGGCGGTTGTCCCGCACAAACACATGCAAATACTAACCCTAAAACATCACAAAAGCAAATATATAAAATGAGGGTAACAAGGACGGGGTTCCTCTACTTGAAAAAGACAGTACTCTCGTTGGAAGAGTTGGTTGGCTCTCTCAGAGCCTAGACTATTTGCCTCCTGCGTTCGTGGACTCCTACCCTCAGACGCCCATGTCAGTCCTTCTATTCCTCGAGTTTACTATTCTCCTAACCCTAATATTACATTGAATATCTCATTCCTTGTCCACTGGCCCATCCATCTCCTTCCTTCATTGCTTGCAAAGAAGTGTCGTACCGCCCAACATCCTCTTCACACCTTATAACCCAAATTAGACAAGACTATTCTCCTTTCAAAACAATAGAACCCTCTTCGACTCGCGAAAACCACTTCTCATAACTCCAATGCAAGAATCTCATGTCTCAATTGTAGTCCTTTGCTTAAAGAAATAAATTATTTTATTGAGAACCCAAAGTAGTGAACATGATTATGAAGGACTTCTTTATAACACCACAAGCTCGTCTTTCATTCTGGTAGATCTCCAAAACTTTTGATCTATATGCATTTGATACGGTTGATGGCACTTCATGGGCAGAAGGAAGTGCAATGCTCAAAAAGCTCTACTATGGATTAGGAGATTATCCCAAGAAAGGCTTAGGTAGTCATATCAATAGGGATGATAAAAAAGCTTGTTGTTCAAGAACAACTCGTGTTCAATTAGTTGAGTAGCTTGTGACCTCCAAAACTTTCGATCTATATGCATTCTGGTTGATGGCACTGCATGGGTGGAAGCAAGTGCAATGCTCAAGGAGCTCTACTATGGATTAGGAGATTGTCCCAATAATGACTTGGGTGGATATATCAGTAAGGCTCTCAAAAAACCTCGTTGCTGAAGAACAACTCGTGTTTGGTTGGTTAAGTAGCTTGTTTTTGAATTGTTCGTCAAGTAAATGAACCGAACACAATCAAATTTTTAAAGCTTAAATTATAAACTAGCCAAACACGAACACCCCTTTCTTCGATCGTGTTCAATTTATTTTAGCTTAAAATAAAGAAATTATATATATATATATATATAAGTTTAAATCATCGTAGTTCGTGTGATCATGTGATTTTACGCATTCTATTACACAAATTTAGTACATGTTCGAATCCAACACCCTGCATTTTTTTTTCCTAATTAATTTTAACAAGCCAATTTCAAGCCGAACACGAACAATAATATATAAATCGAGTCAAACATGAACCCACTGTTCATGAGCACTTTCGAACATCAGCCAATTTCAAACCAGCCGAATATGAGACAAGCCTTAGCTCAGTCAAGCTCGGCTCTTTTACAACCTTACATATCAGTGGACGAGGGATGCATGGGGTGCATGACAAGATTGGATGGCCTCAAAATCGATAACATCGTGAAAGCAAATATTGTGAACCCTTATGCTTTAACAAAGAACCCCATGGGAGATGACCTCTTCCAAGCCATGAGAGGCCATGAGAGGCGCCCCATATCTTTCTAATAATCCAAGAGAAGTTATAGCGACATTGACTTGGGGAGAAGTTTGAGTAGGAATGAGAGCTATTTAGAGGCTAGTGTGGGGTCAGAAATATTTCAAGATAAATTATATGTGAAGGCCATGGTTGATCCTGACTACTTATTTTGAAGCATTCTTCCTTTAGGTTGATTTCATGCCAAATATTATTTGGAATTTGCCAAATTGTAATATACTTTAATATTAGAAATATATGTGAAGAGTTTGGGTCTAGAAAGCATTTGAACAGAGATTGGCACTTGGAATTGCTTTGGGAGATCTTAGAAAAGAAAAAAATTGGGGTTTAGATGAAAATTAGAGTAACAATAAAGAAAAAATATTGAATCTAATAAAAAGAAATGTCTCATATTCCTATCCTATCAATCCTATATCTGTTATTATAAACAGAATTTTTAACCATAAGGAAAGCAATGAAGATAAAGTTGCCAGCATTACTATATTAGCTAACCTCTATCATGTCTAGTCTTACATTGGAAATTAGAGGAGAAAAAAGGGCAATTACTTAAATAGCACTCAAAATATTGTTATTTACATATTAGCACTCTTTCATCCATTATTAAAACTCTCACTCAAATTTCAAAATCCAAAATTTAGTTTCTCTTCACAATCACATAAATAATCATTATATTATATTATATTATAGGGATAATTACATACATACCAGCCAAAACATCCATATTTGCAAATTAACCACCCAGTTGATTTTTCGAACTAATTTGATAAAAATGAAAAATATGGATTGAGATTTTACCATGAATTTTGACATTTGAGTGAGAATTTGAAAAATGGATGAAAGCGGGTTGATTTGTAAATATCAAGTGTCGGGTGATCTGTATGTAATTGCAACATTATTATATTAATGCATTTTTTTTATTATTATTTACAACTTATAACACCATGTTGTCATAAATGTTTGCTTTGCTTTGTAAGGCTGCAATTTTTTCATACATGAATTTATTTAATATGTCATAAACCCAAGCATCTACAGCGGCCTCATTAATACTTCGTAATCATCAAATTTGTAAGCAATTTGTTGTCGCATTCTGAGAAATTGCATTACATTTGTGAAACCAAAATGCTGTGGCATGAACCAATAGGTACCCAATGACCCGCCATTCCATCCACTAACGGAAAGCCAATCGGGTAAATGTGCAAGGGCATATACAACAGGACTAACTCGAAACATGGAATGAACAAAGATGGGATGACAGAGTTTATGCGAGAGGTTAATCATGAATAGACGGCAACGGAGACCAACCACAGTCAATCAGCCACCAGTGGTCGACCACGAGCAGACAACCAACAGAGACTGATCGTGGCGAGATGGCCACCAGGGTCGATCATGACAGGACGTAATTTTTTTTATTATTATTTACAACTTATAACACCATGTTGTCATAAATGTTTGCTTTGCTTTGTAAGGCTGCAATTTTTTCATACATGAATTTATTTAATATGTCATAAACCCAAGCATCTACAGCGGCCTCATTAATACTTCGTAATCATCAAATTTGTAAGCAATTTGTTGTCGCATTCTGAGAAATTGCATTACATTTGTGAAACCAAAATGCTGTGGCATGAACCAATAGGTACCCAATGACCCGCCATTCCATCTACTAACGAAAGCCAATCGGGTAAATGTGCAAGGGCATATACAACAGGACTAACTCGAAACATCGAATGATCAAAGATGGGATGACAGAGAGTTTATGCGAGAGGTTGATCATGAATAGACGGCACCGGAGGCCAACCACAGTCAATCAGCCACCAGTGGTCGACCACGAGCAGACAACCAACAGAGACTGATCGTGGCGAGATGGCCACCAGGGTCGATCATGACAGGACGTACACCAGAAACCAAACCAAGGGGCAAACCATTGAGGATTGATTACGAGAAGTCTATCACTTTATCTAAGCAGTTGGCAAGAAGAGGAAACCCCAATAATCCCAATCCTAAAGCGGGAAAATGACCAAATTAGACACTTAAAAATCAAAATGTCTAGTAATAATACAAGCCTAAATATGATATTTGGTTAGAGCCTACCTGCAAGGGCATATACAACAGGACTAACTCGAAACATCGAATGATCAAAGATGGGATGACAGAGAGTTTATGCGAGAGGTTGATCATGAATAGACGGCACCGGAGGCCAACCACAATCAATCAGCCACCAGTGGTCGACCACGACCAGACAACCAACAGAGACCTATCGTGGCTAGACGGCCACCAGGGTCGATCATGACAGGACGTCCACCAGAAACCAAACCAAGGGGCAAACCATTGAGGATTGATTACGAGAGGCCCGATACGAGAAGTCTATCATTTTATCTAAGCAGTTGGCAAGAAGAGGAAACCCCAATAATCCCAATCCTAAAACGGGAAAATGACCAAATTAGACACTTATAAATCAAAATGTCTAGTAATAATACACGCCTAAATATGATATTTGGTTAGAGCCTACACCTATAAATAGGGGGTATTAAATATAAATAGGATCTAAATCCTCTCTTTTGAAGTGTGTAAAGTCCTGATTCTTCTTCATCCTGGTCATTCTAATGTCAGCTCGGTTGCCCTACCAGTCTCTCTCTTCCTCATTCTCTTCTTCTATACGCTCCATTCCCTAGGTGTGATTCAAGGACGAATCTGGGCTCAACAACATTTTGATTCTATCTTTCTGCTTGTTGAATACTACCGTCAATGAACAAACTTCTACAAGCATTTACTAACAGATACTATGATACCAAAGCTCGCTTATCCGCCTCTGGACAAAGATTCTCTCCCATGGATTCCATATTTAAAATCTCAAGCAATCACAATACTACCATCCAAGATGTTATAATGGCGAGATCATGAGACCTCATCATGGTCCCTAGACACCACCACAGACATTATTGTAATAGGTCTTTAATATCACATCAAAAAATTGTCACCGTTTAAAAGTGAAATACACATTTTTAGACATAAGTTTAAAACACCGAAATGCTTTGCATGTAAATACGAAAATTTAGGCGTGAGACAAGTAAATACATAAATATGTAAATTTTCCTAATTGTAAATGCTGACCATAGAGCAGATACCTATAGGGAAAGCAAACACCTTACTGTCGGTGGTGGCCCTTGATGCGTTTGTCTTAGTTTTGTGGATTACAGTATATATGTTTGTTACAATAAATAAAGTTAATAGCCTTCTCATCAGGATCTTGAGCTAGTTTTGACTATTACCAAAATTAGTAAAGAAAATTAAATACAACAAATACATATCTTTCTATCGTAAATTAAAAGTCCCGCCTTATTTATTTAGGCACAAGACTTCTCTGCCCACTTATAGCTTTACCATGCTTTTTTTGTTTTTTAATTGTTCATGTGCTTTTTAAGGGAAAAAATAGTGTATACATACCACCCAATTCCAATGTATTTACATATCTAACACCTAAACTTCAATTTTTACATGCTCGCCACATTACCTACGCATGAAAAGGTGTATTTCACTTTCTAAAAATTAAAATAGTGGTATTTTTAGCGTGATACAAAAGATTTGGATGGAATAAATATAAAAAGTCAAATTCGGTGCTAGTTATGTAAATATGTAGGAATTGAGTGGCATGTATGTAAATGCCCCAAAAATATTTGTTTTTCCAACAGCTCCCTTGCAGAATACACCTTTCATTAGTCAGTTTTCCTTCCAAAATGAGTATCGATATCAAGATTTCCTAATGAAACAGCCTTCGAGGCAATTAGACAAGCCTTCCCCTACATTTCAGTTTTGTTTTTCAATTTGCAGATAAAATTAGCTCCTTTTACCATAATAGCATTAATTAACAGAGTAACTTCACACCAACTTGCTACAATGGAGAGGTAGAGTCTATATAATCCTAATCTCTTTAAGCCAAGTTGTATGGATTGGACAAGGGTCATCTTTACCAAGAGCAAGTGCCTTCTCAGTCAGAGAATAAAACCAGCCATTTCTCCACTTAAACTGGACATGGTCTCAGTTGTTAATAACAAAACAAGATTTTAGAGGATTGGTCTGTAAAGGAAATTTGCATACATACCACACAATTCTTATGTATTTAAAATATCTAATACCCAAAGTTTGATTTTACAATTAGAAGAACTTGGTGTCATAATCTCATGCATGAAGAGGTGTATTTCACTTCTAAAAAGATAGTGATTGAGAAGAAAGAATTGTTCAAAACCTAATTTGTTCATTCATAACATGAGCTTAAATAGGATATTACAACGTTTTAAAAATAAACCTCTAGACTTCTTCAATATTCCCTTTTTACCAATAGGCCCCTAAATAAGTTCCAATTCTCACCACTCTCCGTCAAGATGGGCAAAAGATACCCACTAAGCCCATCTTGTCACATAACCTAGAAAAATCTAATGAACTAAGAGCTTTAGTGAGGCAGTGAATCACTTGCCCTCCAGTGGCTACATGACCATGACTTAGCTCTAGTAGCACTTAGCTCTAGTAGCATGTTATTCAGCTTTTCCTTGATGAAGAATCTATCAATCTCCACATGTTTGGTTATATCGTGTTGCATTGGATTGTTGGCAATGCTGATTATTGACTTGTTGTTGCACCACAATTTCATTTGAGTTCCTTGGTCCACCTTGACGAAGAATCTATCAATCTCCACTTGTTTGGTTATATCGTGTTGCATTGAAGATCAACCCCTTCCCTAGTTCACTCTTCAGGTACATCTGAATCTGATACATTGCATCCATATGACCCTTCCTTGGATCATGCATGTAGTGGCTCATCACTCTCACTTCAAAATAAATGTTAGGTTGAATGGCCCACCAATCTCTAGTACCTCCCACGATCAACTGGTTCTCTTGTCTCTACACTTAGCTTGCCCTTCTGATCAATTGAAGAGACTCAAACATACATGTTTCCAAGAGAAGATCTAGTATATACCTTCTCTGGAATAAGACCATCATCTCAGGTCCACGGGTCACTTCAATTTCAAGAAAGTATATGAGCTATCGAAGATCCTTCACCTCAAATTCATTGCCCAATCTTACCTTTAGTTGGGCAATCTCTGTCTCATCGTCGCCAATGACAATGATGTCATCCACATACAAAACAAGTATAGCGGTGTGACCTTCATGTTATTGAAAGAGCACCGTATGGTCTGCATTGATATGTTAATATCTTATGCCCACCATAGCCTTTCTAAATTTGTAAAATCAGGCTCAAGAAGACTGCTTCAAGTCATAAAATGACTTCCTGAGCCTACACATATTGCCCACAGTCTGGATTGTATTGAACCCTGGTGGTATCTCTACATATACCTCCTACAATAGCTCACCATGAAGAAATGCATTATTCATATCAAGTTAGTGTAACCCATACCATCATTTACTACAAGAGAAATCAATGTCTTCACTGTGCTCATCTTTGCTACTGATGCAAAGGTTTCTTCATAGTCAATATCATATGTATGACTGTACCCTTTCGCAACTAGTCGTGTTTTGTATCCTTCCATTCTGGAGTTTTTCTTACTGTGAAGATCCACTCGCACCAAACTATTTTTTTCCCTGCTATTAGTGACACTATCTCCAAGTTAGCTTTTTATCAAGAGTCTCAAGCTCTTTAACCATAGTCACTTTCCACTTGCGATCCTTCTTAACAACCTGTCAACACTTGGGTATTGAGACGACATCCAAAAATGCAATGAATACTCCATGTAAAGGTGATATGTAGAATATGAAACAAAGTTAGTAATATTGTGTTTCCATCCAAAACAATCGGGAGGGGTCCCACATTACTGCTAGAGGTCCTCCTTAAAGTTGTTGGGTTAGGAGAAGGAGAAATCATATCACCAAAGAATTCTCAATCGAAGCTGGAAGGTGTAGGTGTTTCAAGAGTCACGGAAGATCAGGACAAGTGACTTGTTCTCACATGTAGCGCTGCAGGCACTGTTCCCTCATTTTACTTCCTTCTCCGTGTATACACCCTTAGCTCACCTTTAGGTTGAATCCCACCACCTCTGGGTTCACTCTCCTCATTTTTCCGTTCCTCAACGGATTCATCCTACATCACAGGAAAATGCATTGCTCTCATGTGTACCACTCTCCCACCATTGCTCACAAACAATTTCTTCTCTATCGGGCTCCAACAGAAATACCACTTCTAGGTAGCAGAATAAACTACGAATACACATTTCAAAGCTTTGGGATCCCGCCTCCAATTAATAGCCTGTTATTCTTCACAAAGAATACACTCATCAAAGGTGTTTGGAAGTATATTCAGCCCCATCTCCTGTTGCTTTCTGTTTCCTCATCAACAACTTCACACACTCGTGATCCTCCTTGGTAAAAAACACAAGCCTCTCCCTTCTATGCTACCATCATATTTGTCTGGTTGCCTCCTTTTCCACATTTTCGATCACCATAACACAACCACGGCCTCCACCATGTCCATCTCCACCTGTCTCTTTCATCTTAGGTGGCCTAGGACAGTTCTTGCTTAGATGCCCAACTCCACAATAGTTGTAGACAACTCCACAAAAGTCGTAGCACTTACAAGTATCCCCTAGAACACCTATCTAGGGGAGTTCAGCTCGTTAAAAAATACCATTGTTCGTGTTTAGCCCGTTTATATTTCGAACATAAAAAATTTGTTCGTGTTCGGCTCATTTGTTTAGCGAGCCGAACACGAGTTGTCCGCGAACAAAGAGACATTTTAATAGCCTTAGTGCAATCGTAGGATGTTAAGAGTAGGGACAAGATTTAAATCTTTTTATTTATATTAAAAAAATCATTTAAACATAGTTTAATGTATGTTTATTATATTTTTAAACTAATAATTTTAATTGATTATAAATATTTGTAGCCTTGTAGATATATATATAATTTAATTTTTTCGAGTCAAAATGGGTCGAACACTCACGAACAAATCTTTGTTCGTGTTCAGTTCGTTTATATATCGAGCGCAAAAAATTTGTTTGTGTTCAGCTCGTTTGCTTAGCAAACAAATCAAACATGAGCTTTTTAGCGAGTTGAATGTGAATTGCTCGCGAATAACGAGCCGTTTTGACAGTCTTACACCTATCAGACTTGAGATCGAGGCAGTCAAAGTTGATTGCGCACTCAAAAATCCACACACAAAGTGTAGCTTCATGCGACTCTCCTCCTGTACCCTCGCAGCAATGGCCTCATCCAACGAGGGGATAGTCACCTAAGCTAGGAGGACCGATCTCATCTGATCAAAGCCAAGGTTCAGATTGGCCATAAACTAAATTGTCCTCATCCTTATAAGTTATATCCTTTCTTGCACTCTGAATCGCCATAGTTCAATATCAGTGAGAAGTGATCTAGATCTACCTACAATTGCTCTAGAACTATGGCATATTCCCAAATCGATCAATCACCCACCATTGATTCTATCTCACGCCAAATATGAAACACCCTTATGTGGTTCTCAGTCCCAACATAAATTCTATTCAGTTTTGCCCATATGTCATTCACATTTCGAATGTCATCTACTGAGGATGCAATTGACAGAACCATCAAGTTGAGTAGTCAAGTGTAGATTAAGGCGTGTGCGGTCCTCCACTTATCCCCCTCAGCATTATCACCTTTCAACCTGTCCTCGGTCAGATATCCCTCTAATCTCTTTCCTACTAGAGCCGCCTCAAACCGACGTGATCAACTCATATATGTGGTCGGTCAGTCAAGCTTTAGATCCATAGAAGGGAGATTTATCTTCACTTATGTCAAAGAATGTACTTAGGTAGTGGCTCCCATCGAGACGCTAGCAACATGTATGAGCTCGATCAAGACCTTCAGATTATCATAGAAGCTCCAATTCTTTACCTCTCACACTATCTCGTCTCCGGACATCGTCAATCACAAGGATCCAAGTGAAGATCACACAGATCACGAATTTGATCATTCAGTTTGTATGCTGAGATCATGTCTGAGAGCACGTCGTGACCTCCTTTCCAAGTCTGCGATCGCATCGTGGCCTCCCTGGTTAGTTCTAATCATGATTGTTTAGCTCTAATCGCGACTGTATAGCGATACATCACGCCTTCGTGTCATAATCCCGCCGTTTCCTTCCAAGTTAGCTCTAATCGTAATTGTATGGTGATACATCATGTCATGATCCCATCGTTGTCGTTCGAGTTAGCACGATTATCACAATGTTATCCCATTGTTTTTGTCCCAATCAGCTCTAGTCATGGTTGTTTCGCGATAACAAAGTGGAAGGAAGAGGAAAATGAGAGTTTCAGGTCTCAATACGCAGATCGACCTTGACTCCTCTAATCAAGCAGCGCTAGAGGTGGCTAGGGTTAAGGTTTTGATACCAAGAAGAAAGAATTGTTCAATTGTTCAAAACCTAATTTTGTTCATTCATAACATGGGCTTAAATAAGGTATTATAAGATTTTACAAATAAACCCCTGCACTTTTTCAATATTCCCTTTTTACCAATAGGATCCTAAATAATGTCCATTTCTCAACAGATTGTGATATTTTTTATGTGATGTTAGTGACTTGAGTGTTATGACTTTAAATATGAATGTTCAGGTGTTAGTTATGTAAATGCTTAAGAATTAAGTGGTACGTATGTAAATGCCGCTAAAATTAAAAAGCTGTACTCACCTCTTTCACAGCAGTGGGGAAATGTGCAACAGCCCTGGAATATGCACACAGCCTCTCCACCATGCCGTCGTCAAATGTTATTCCCCTCTCAGCAGCAGCAGCAGATTCCAATTCTGCAATGAGGCTTGTGACCTGGGAATAAAATTAAGAGGGAGGGATCAGAACTTGTAGAAATATCATTTAACAGATATGGCAACTTAAGAGAGATCTCAAGACCAATAAAGGCCCCAATTAAGCTCGATAATGCCCATAATGGGCAGCAAGCAAACCGAGCATGCAATAAAGTACTCGTAACTAAGCTTGATAAGAGCTTCTTCACATTTGATTGATTTACTAATTGATCAAATTTGAATGCAATTCGTTTATGTTTATAAATAATATTATTTAAAGCTCGCGAGCAAGCTCATTAAGAAGCTCGATGAACAACTTCATTTAAAGTTCATGAACAAGCTCTCAAGTGGCCTTGAATAAAGCTCGATATAATGCTTTTGAATAACATCGGTTGAAGCTTAATTTAATGTTTGTTTAAAACTTGATTTAAAACTCATTTATATTAAATTAAATTAAAATCTTAATTCATAATGCATAAAAAAGAATAAATGTTTGTTTATTTAGTTGTGTTAGTGACGCAGGCGCTAGGGTAGCGAACAATGCGGGCGCTTTGAACCTGTGGGGAAGAAACCCTGCGAAGCATTGCGGGATCGGGAGCGAAATCGCGATAGCGCGAGAACCCGTGTGAGAACAGAAGAGAAGGATTACGAACTCACACGCACCAGAGGAAATTGTTTCGCACCGATTCTTTTTGGAAAGAGTTTTATGGATTGCTCGTCTTTTCCACCCCTTTCCTTTGTGTAGAAACTTCGTCCATCCTGAGAAAACCTATAAATTGCCCTCCCACGTGTGTGGAGAGTCAGTTATAGTGGAATTGTCTTCTAATCTCCTGTGTGGAGTCTCTTTTCCCTTTGTGGGTTGTATCCAAGAAGGTGGTGGTGCTCCGACTATATCCTCTCTGAGGTATTCATTGTACCCTCCCTTTCTACCTTCTCCAAACACTATCCTCACCACTCCTCAGCTGTCGAACTCTCCCTCCATCACCCTGATACTCAGTGATTCCCCCTTCCTGCAGAATATTACTGTTGTCCCATCTACCTAACTTCTTTCAAGCTCCCCTCAACTACCCCGCAACCGTTGTAGACCACTTACAACCCTTTCCTACTTGTTGTTCATACAGTTTTGCACCTTCCCTCCGCTGTCACCCGCCTTTCGTGACTGTCGTCATCCCTCCCAATCATCCCTATCCCTCTAGCTGACTTCCACCACCCATTGGGATAAAATAGGAGTGTTTGTTGGTATCATTTTATGTTTTGAGTTATTATTTCCATTTGAGTCATGTTGTAACTCTACTTTAATATTAATGAAAGTTTGGTTTGTGTTTCTCACTGCTTCTGGTATCATTTGGTATCAGAGCTAGTCTACCATAATCATATCATAGGGTTTCCCAGCATCCGCCCCAACCCAATTCACCAACACCAAATTTTTTCCTTCCAATTTCCAACCTTAGTCATGCCACCACGAAGAGGTACTTCGGACTCGACCGAAGAAGAAATTAGACGAGAAATTCGTCGTCTACAACGGAGAGTAGAAGAACTGGCTGACGAAAACCGGGAAGATATTACCTTCGACCGTGATCGAGAGAGTCGAGGGGAAGACAGAGATGAGGAGAATTTGTTCCACACTAAAGATCACAACGACAAGGAATATCAACAACGTCGTTTTGGCATCCAATATCAAAGAAGACTGAGAGAAGAAGACCCTTATGAAGGTTAGCAGGACCATAGCATCAAAATGGACCTCCCAAAATTTGAAGAAGGTATGGATCTCGATGAGTTTATTGGTTGACTGCAATTAGTTGAACGAATTTTCGAATATAAATATGTACCAAAAGACAAACGAGTCAAGCTAGTTACTATTAAACTAAAGAAAAATGCCTCCTTATGGTGGGAAAATTTTAAAATATAGAAAAAAAGAGAAGGCAGTGAGAAGATAACTAAGTGGGAGAAGATTAAGAAGGTAATGCAGAAAAAATACATCCCACCCCACTATCGCCAGGATATGTTTCTAAAACTCCACTACTTGCAATAGATAGATCTTTTAGTTGAGGAGTTCACAGCCCAATTCGACCACTTGCAGATGAAATGCAAGCTGACGGAGCCAGAGGAACATAAGAAAGCCAAATATCTTGGGGGTCTGAAACTCTCCATTAGCAATGTGGTACAGTTGCAGCCATACTAGACGCCAGGGGATGTCCAGACATTAGTTTAAAGGTAGAAAGACAGCAGAAGCACAACAAATAACAATCATCTTTCAAGCAACAATCTTCAGGCAGGTTGTCACCTACAATCACCACGACCGACAGGTATATCCTGAAAGATACATGCAAGCACGGACAGTGGAATGACAATACGGAACAAAGTAGTAACAAACATGAGAAGGGTAGCTCCTCCAACATTTTACCAGCCAGAAGTGCTACCGATGTCACGATTATGACCACAAAACCTCCAGCTATCCCATGAGCAGGATAGTCACACTCACAGATCAAAATGTCGTGAAAGAAATGAGCGACGAGGAGAAAGCAAAAGTACAGGGTGAGGTGTATCAACTCCCACCAGACGAAAGAGAAGCAATCGTGATTCGAAAAATCTTGCAAATTGAGAACACGGGGGATTCACAGTGGCTTCGCCACAACATATTCTATACTCGTTGCACAGTTAGCAGAAATGTATGCAGTCTCATCATCAATGGCGAAAGCAACAAGAATATGGCGTCGACACAGATGATAAAAAATTATAACTCGCAACTCAGAGACATTCTCATCCATATTCACTGACGTGGCTGAAGAAGAATCTGGTCAGCATCAACTGAAAATGTTTGGTAGAGTTTTCGATTGGAAACCAGTTGCAAGACGAGGTGTAGTGTGACGTGGATCCTATGGATGTCTGTCACCTTTTGTTGGGACAATCGTGACAGTTTGACCGAAGGACTCAACACGAAGGATATAGAAACATGTATTCTTTCACCAAAGAAAGGAAGCACGTCACCCTCCTTCCATCGACGGAGCCCAAGTTCACAGGATCCCTTATCACCAGAATGGTGTCAGTGGGACTAGTTTTAGTGATGACACCAGACGAGAGGACTGAAACACCCACCCCCGATACAGGATAGATATGGCCAAGGTTATGTCAGGTCGACGTCTTACTAGTAGCAACCGTAGTGCAGGAAGGGTCTGATCATGCTCACTACACGCTCGATTAAACCAATCATAGGTTACTTTGGGAAGATTCACTAGCATAGGTGTGACGACAGCCTCAAAAGGACAAATCAATATGGACATTTACTTGCAAGTTAGGTAAGACCGTCAGATACCTCGGGAAACAGTGCAGTCGCCAGTGGGATCCAATGGTGGTTGATAATGAAAAGGAAGCTTCGACCAATGAAATTGAAGCTCCCCCAACCCCAAGAGAGAGATGCAAGCGCTGGGGCAGTGCCCGATTGCGGGCGCTGAAAGTACCTAATGTGGGTGCTTCGAACCTGCGGGCAGAAGCCCCGCAAAGCTTCGCGAAAGCGGGAACATGTGTGAAATCACAATAGCGAGAGAACCCGCGTGAGAGCAAGAGAGAAGGATCGCGAACTCAAGCGATCCAGAGGGAAATGTTTCGCACTGGTTCTTTTTGGGAAGAGTTTTTTGGATTCCTCGTTTTTTCAACCCCTTTCCTTTGTGTATAATCTTCCTTCCTCCTAAGGGAGCCTATAAATTGCCGTCCCATGTGTGAGGAGAGTTAGTTCTAGTGGAGTTGTCTTCTGATCTCCTGTGTGGAGTATCTTTCCACTTTGTGAATTAAATTTGTGGAGGTGGAGGTGCTCTGGCTATATCCTCTCTGAGGTGGTGATTATATCATCCTTTTCTACCTTCCCCAAACCCTCTCCTCTCCCCACTCAGTCGTCGCACTCTCCCTCCGCCAACCGACACCCAGCCATTTCCCCTACCTGCGGATTATTATTGTTGTCCTGTCTATCTAACTCCTTTCACGATCTTCCCAACACTCCACTATCGTTGCCGACTACCTACAACCCTTTCCTACTTGTTGTCCCTATAGTTTTGCACCTTTCCTTCGCAAGCACCCGTTTTTCGTGACTGTCTCCATCCATCCCAATCATTTTGATCTCTCTAGCCGACCTCTACCACCCATTGGGATAAATTTGGAGTGTTTGCTGGTGTCTTTTTATGTTTTGTGTTGTTATTTCCGTTCGAGTCATGTTATAACCCTACTTTAATATTAATGAAGTTTGTATATTTTTCACTGTTTATTCTACTAGTTCTGGTATTAGTTAGTATGCTAATTTTATTTATTCATTTAGCTTGTTTATTTTTATAAGTTCAATAAGTAACTACTTCATAAGCTCAATAAAGCTCATATGATTAGAAAATAATAGCTCAATCATGCTACTTAGTACTCATTAGTTTACTTGATAAGACTCATCGGTTAAAATATAAATAGATCGATAGCCCAAATTTTAATTTCTTTGATAAAGATCATTTGGTTAGAAATCAAGTAGCTCGATAATATTACTCATCAATCAACTCGACAATGACTTGATTATCATCATATGAAACAAACATGAACCGAACTCAAACAAACAGAATGATATATGAAGCAAGCTTGAATATAAACATAAAATCATTATTTGAGCTCGAGCTTGAACTTTATAAACAAGCGCAAAGTTGAACGAAGTCCTACCCAACTCGACTCGGTTCATTTGCAGCACTATGCCCATACATATTGTTATGAATTCAGTTATTTCAAATAAGATAAGATTGTTGCAAGAGATGCATCAATGGATTGGTAACACCGTTGCTTAATCTACAAACAGCGCAGGATATCCACTTTGGAGGGTCAGAAAAAAAGGTTTCTTGGATAATACAATACTATGTGACATTGGAAGTCTAAGAGCAAAGCGCGTGTTTACAGAAATTGTCATGTATCAATAATTTAAAATTTGGGGCATTTACAGATAGCAAGCAAGATAAGCCATAAACTCAAAAAAAAATTCAGCTTTGCCCTTTATCCAACACTGAAATAATTCAAATTTATAAATATGCAGTCATAAAGATGAACATATGCTTCATACGTACATTTATCTTTAAATATTGCAATCCATACCCCTTGGGCTTAAGACCAAACAATAGTTTTTCAGAATCCAATGTTGGGTGTTGTAAGCAATCTTCTTTATTTTCTCCCCAGTTTATATAGAAGTACTTACCTCAGATCGATAATCCTTCTCCACAACCCCAACTGTAGCTCCCAGATGACGCGCTCCAACAAGCATGAACGCTGAAATCCATATCAATTTCTCCAACATTTGTTTTTGAAAAGCTTCCTTTTGGAGGACCTGAATCCAATAAACTAAAATGTAATATCTACATACCAGTTATAGTTTTGAATGATTAAAAGAACTTTATCCTGCCAAAAAATAAAAATGAACTGGTCAGTTCCAAAACAAATCAAAGGCATGCGAGCATGAATAACTTATTATAATCACAATATTGGCCCATAACAATTGAACTGGCCGTATCCATCAAATATATGGGCATTTGAGCTGTAGTGGAGGATCCAGGAATTTTTGTATTGGTTTTGGATGACCATGAAGATCGTCCTAAAGAGTGCAACTCTTGTGATAAAAGCATGAAACTGGAGATGCTAATGAAGCATTGGATGGCTCACACTTAGGTGTTGTGCAATGTTTTCCAGCTACCCCTAAAAGTCGATACTGACAGGAAACATGCAGGTATCTTCCAAGTAAAGTTGAAGAGTAGTGATAAAATATCCAAATTGATCATTATAATGATAGTTGCATAAATTTCATTGTTACCTCTGCCTTGGCTAGAATGAATCATACAACCAAGCTGCATTCCTAGCCCTACAAGGTCAATTGGGTTGGCAAGGCCACCATCTCAATCACCCAATGATGTGTTGTTCAGTTATAGCTAGCTACCTCCTCCAACTATATTTGGTGCAATTTCCTTATAGTCGTGCCCATGTATTTCTAGGAAATACATGATTATGTGATTGGGATGTTATCAGTTTTGACTAATCCAATACTTTTGACTATAAATTTGAAGGGATAAAGATTGTCTTAAATCTAAATGAGTTTAAAATGATTTCATATGCCTAATTAGACATTTGCCATAAATAAAAGAAGAATTCATATCTTTTGTTGATGAGAGTCTGAGCAAAGCAATGAAAAAAATGTCTTTTATCATTGTAAAGCAGATCTCTTAATAATCTTCGAGTACTCTATCTTCCCACTTGATATTATTCAACACATGTGTGAGTTCTAGGATACGCCCTAATAAACACCCCAATGAGCCCCCACCACTTAGGAGAATCCAGCATACAATTAATTGACTCTCAACCAAACCAGATTTGTCCCATCAAAGCATTTGTCACGACCCATGCACGTACAAGTTTTATTTTGATTTATATTTTCTCTCCTTTATTGGTCATATTATTATGAATATTTATAGCTACTTACTATCATACATTGGTGTATGTTATGTATTGTATATTGAATTAAATGCGATGAGCATATGAATGATGTGTTTATATCAACTACTCACATATGCAAGTTTGACTATGATAGTTACCCTAAGGTATACATGCACGTAAATGAAAAATGATATTGATATTGAACTATCTTAAATAAAGTAATTTTAGACGTTATTTCTGTGATGGATATATACAAATTAAAAAGATATTGATTTGTAAACGGCATAGTAAGAAATAGTGAAAAGTTAAAATCACCTTGAATGATTATATTTGAAAGTACAAACTGTCAATGACGCGAGAGTGGGCTTTCTCCCGCAGCGGGACACAGGAGCGAAGCCTCCTGCAACAAACCGACCAGTCTATTGAAGACCGGTCCAGGGGAATCCCGCGTCGAGCTGCCCAGGTGAGAATCCTGATGGGGCAAGCGACCTACCGTGCCCCGTTCCTTGTCATTTTCCTGCTTAGCTAGGGCTATATTTATGTTGGTTTGCTAAGAGTCTATGGAGTTTTTGTTGTGTGTTGATTCCATTCCTATGTAGAGTCCTTTTTTCCCTCTTTGTGGGTTGTATCTGATGTGGGTTGTGTCCAAGGAGGTGGTGGTCGTGTAGTTGTATCCTACTCCGAGGTGGTGATTGTATCTTCCCCTTTTATCTTCCCCCTTCATCTTCCCGACTTCTTCTCCTCCACTTCCCTTAGTCGTCGGCTACTCCCACAACTTCTCCTATGCACTGTCGACCCCCTTTCTGCTACAACAACCTACCGTCCACCCCTTTCAGGTCCCTCCCGACATCCCGCCGGCACCCCTATAGCAGCTAGTCAGCTACCTTGTTGTCCAAGGTCCACCCCACCGCTGCCCCTACTATCCAACACTTCCAGCCACCAATCTGCCTGTTGCCGAACACCTACGACCTGACATACTTGTTGTTCTCGCAATTTTTCACCTTCCACTTGCTGCCATCAACACTACTTTGCTATCACCACCCTTGCCAACCATCCCGATCCACCCAACCGACCTCTACCGCCTTGGGATACACTTACGAAGTATTTGTTTGTGTCGTTTTAATGTTTTAGTGATGTTACTTTCAATTTGTGGTGATGTAACCCTATTTCCCTATTAATAAAAATTCCTTTTGTGGTTTGGGATTTCTCCTCCGGTATCAGTTGATATCAAAACTAGTCTAACCCTCGTCCCATCCTAGGGTTTCTACCATCCGCCATCACAATAATTTTTTTTTTCTTTCTTTCATATTACTTTCTTTCTTTGTTCCTTCTTTTTTTCCTCCCGCAGATCTCAAACCCTAGCCATGCCACCAAGAAGATCTATGTCCGAGCCTACTCGGGGGGAGATACCGCAAGAGCTCTGTCGTCTTCAGCGAAGGCTTATGGATATTGAAGAAGAAATCTAGTGGGAGGATACCCTCGACCGTGATCAGAAAAGTCGAAGGTAAGAACGATAAAATATGAAGATGAAGTGAGAAAAACAGTGTCAATTCCAACCAACTTACTACTGTCAAAAGTCGCAGACTCTAGCTTCTGAAGTGGAGAGACCGTATCACCAAGCGACCCCTCTTGCAACTATCCAGCAAAATCAATCTACAAGTCTGTCACAGTCAGAAGATGTTGCAAGTGTCACAGATTTGAACATGTTAAAGCAGAATGCACAACTAACGAAGTGATATACTTCACCGAGCAAGACATCCTCAAAAAGTTGGGTAAAGACAATGCATACATTGAAGAGCAGTTCAAGCGAGAATTTTCATCCGATGACGACTTCCCCTGTGGAGCCCCCTTGTCCGTGGATACATCCAATGTCTTTACTCCATGTGATCAAAAGAAACATGTGACTTTTTTATGAGATTGTGGTTCCTACTCTCCTAGAAGATGGAAAACATTTTTGTTGAGACATAAATCATGCATAATAGAAGATGTCAGTGGATGGTCTTAATAACAACCAACTGATAGCATCACAAGCGGCTACACTTCCAACCCTCACCCCTAGTGTTCCATATAAAGAGATGAAAGGCCAGTGTGAAGTTTTGTTATTGGAACACGATAGAAGATGTCAGTTCTTCAAAACTTCAAGAGTCAAAGGGAAGACCCGGAAGATAATAAGAATCACACGTCAACCAAACTCTTGCAAATCATCAATCTCACTGAGGCACGACTTGTCATAGATGAGAACCATATGAGATATTTACTTGTTCAAAATTTTGCTCGGGAAAACCTACATAATGGTGTACCTCTGGCTCAGACTATACCCAACTAGAATGGATCTTCATGGAGGTATGCTCGCATGTGGGAAAAGCTTCTCAAATGCGTTGGGAACCAGTTCAGTCGCCGGTTGGATCCACGAATGGCTGGCGAAAACCAGAAGCTTTGACGGATGTAGTCAAAGCTCTCCCAACCTCGGGAGATTGATGTGGGAGCAGGCTTTCTCCCGTAGCAGGACACTGGAGCGGGTTTTCTCCTGAAGAGGGACGCGGGAGCGAGAAATCTACAGCAGTAAGACGTCACAGCGGGAATACGGAAGCGAAGCATCCTGCAGCAAACCAACCAGTCTATTGAAGATTGGTCCAGGGGAATCCCGAGCAGAGCGGCCCGGATGAGAATCCTGAAGAGGTCCCATCCCTTGTCGTTTCTGCTTCTCCTTAGGGATGCTTCTCCTTTGGGAAAGATTTTAATAGCTATTTTGGAGTATTCCCGCCCCTTCCTTTAGTAAGAGTTTCCTTTTCTTTCCCTTTCCTTCCTCCTCTTCTCGTCATTCTTGTTTCCTGCCTAGCTAGGGCTATATGTATGCTAGTTTGCTAAGAGTCTGGAGATTTTTTGTTGTGTGTTGATTTCATATTCCTGTGTGGAGTCCCTTTTTCCCCTTTGTCAGTTGTATCTGAGAAGGTGGTGGTGCTCCGGTTGTATCCTACTCTGAGGTGGTGATTGTATCTTCCCCTTTTATCTTCCCAACTTCTACTCCACTTCCCTTAGCCGTCGATCACCCCCACAGCTTCCCCCCTGCACTACCGACCCCCTTTCTGTTGCAGCAACCTGTTGTCCATCCCTTTCAGTTCCCTCCCGACATCTTGTAGACACCCCTACAACTACTACCTTGTTGTCCCGGGTCTTCCCCACCGCTGCTCAGCACCTTCCAGCCACCAATTGTCATACTTGTTGTCCTCACAATTTTGCGCCTTCTCCTCGCTACCATCAACACTTCTTTGCTGCCACCACCCTTGTCAACCATCCCGTTCCACCCAACCAACCTTCACTGCCCTTTGGGATACACTTCCGAAGTGTTTGTTTATGTCGTTTTAATGTTTTGGTGATGTTACTTTCAGTTTGTGTGTGTTGTAACCATATTTCCCTATTAATAAAAATTGCTTTTGTGGTTTAAGATTTCTCCCCCGGTATCAGTCAAATGCCCTTATATTTTTTCTACATTTTAATTGGCATGCATATTATCTCCCTTTTCATTGAATTACTATAGTTTATGAGTATAAGTATTCAATAACTTTCTTTATCTTGCTATTGTTTAAACTAACTTTTCAAGTTTAATTAATTGATTAAAAGATGGGTGATAGAAGAGAAAATGTTTATAGAAGACGCGAACTATCAAAAATGAGATAAATTTTAATTGTATTGTTTTAATTCTTTTTTAGTGGCTTTTTCATATATTATAATGTTAGTTATAGAATAATTTTAATTTTTATCGTCCGACAATATGTTCCCGCCTTTCACTTTGATGATATCAAAATGAATTTATGGAGTGTTCTCGCAGATTTTCTGATTTCATCAGTTTCATCTCAAGAGAAGTGACTTTAAACGGATTCCAACAACATCTGAAGCCTTTAA